GAAGAGTTTTAGTTAGTAGTTTAGTTAGTTTTTTTTTTTTATATGACCCGAACCCTAACGTCAGAGACGAGTTTACAGCCTATAATAACTGCTAGGATAAGGGTTATAGGCTATACTTAGGTTTAGCTAACAAGTTCTACTTAAGTTTAAATCTAGCTAATTATAGTAGTTGTTTTAGTTTATAGTTATTCTAGTTTAAATAGTTTATACACACCTGTTATTTACTAGTGTTTCTAAGGTTATTAAACTTAAATAACTGATGGATTAATAAGTAGGTTTATTCCTTAGGAATCCCTTTTATACTAACACTATAGGAGCTTAGCTTATTACAGTTAGCTTATAATAATAAGCTTATTTTTTTAATTTATAAATAAAAAAATATAATTATTTTTTTAATTTATAAACTAAGTTTATTATTAATAGTAAGTTATTATATAAGTAATTTTTAATTTATAAATTAAAAGCCTATATAATATAATTAAAAAAGGTTTTAAGTCTTAGCTTTAAGTTATAAACTTTTTCTTTACTTATAAAGTAAAATTACTAAGGGTTATAAGCTATACTTAAGTTTAGCTAATTAATTACAGTAGTTATTTTAGTCTATAGTTATTTTAGTTTAAATAGTCTATATATACCTATTATTTACTAATATTTCTAAGGTTATTAAACTTAAATAACTAATAAATTAATAAGTAGGAATAGGGTAATATAAGAGAGTAATAATTGTTTTCTCTTAGTAGTAGAGCTTGAATTTAGTAAAGTAGTAGCTTTCGTAGCTATCTTAGATAAGGAGCTGCTGGGTCCCCTTTGTATAAGATACCGTAGTAGTTGAGTTATTAAATCCATTTCAGGCTATAATCCTTTTATTATCTATAGTCATAAATGGCCCACCTGCCTAGTAAGGCAGCCTCTGTATATTACTCTACTAGATAGTAGTATAGCTAACTAAGATAATAAACAATAGGATAGCTTATTCATACGCGTGTACTCCTTATATAACTATTGCCCGCTCCCAATTTCCTATCTTGGCCATCTTAACGTAGCCCTGCCTCCAAAAGTAGTAATCACCACACCAGGTTATATCATACCCATCAAAAAGCCAGTCTCGTCAAAGCTATATATATCTTCATCAAGGATACTCTCCTTAGCGTTTATATTCCATACAATAACAAAGTATTTGCCAATTATGTGTGAACACTCGTATATAGCCCCCTTGTAGCTGTATCTACACATATCACTAGTACGAAGCCCTGACTAACGCCTGATAAAGTTGGATACCCAGTTATTATTGGCCCGTGACGCACCACATATGCCAAGCACTTGGTTGGCGATATCTTCCACGCCAGCTGGAAATAGAGGGAAAGATCGCGAGCCTTGTTCTAATATATATTATACAATGGCTGTTTCTTTTGACTCGGTTAGCTTATTGCTATTAAGCCGTTTATTAGAACGTAACGCAACACTAGCGCGTCTCCGGCGGAAGGTAATTCTAGTTATTTTTAAACAGTTTAGAGGGTCTTATGGATCATAGATTTAGAAAACTCTACATTATTATTGAATTGGATAGAATAGTATAATGTAAAAGGTAGTTTAGTTATGGAAAGTGTGGTGTGGGATAGGGAGGTGTGGCTAGCTTAAGGAGCCGCTTGCTTATGAACTATATTAAGCATTCTAAGTTTATTTATTATAGTTATTTTCATAATAACATTATCTAACTTATTTCAAGCATTTTTCTTCCACTAGCTATTACTCAACTACTTACTAGCACTGAGTCCGTGTATAATCTTCATGGGGGCTCTGCTAACATTTACTTACTACGTGAGAAAGGTTGCAAAATACAGTGCCCCTAAGTAACCCTAGCTAAAGAAACACGAAAAGGCTCCAATATACTCCATAATTATCATACTGAATACAAAGATTCAATGAAAAATAACCAATTACAACAGCAGTACTAGTGATCTCCAGGGCTAGCGCTTACTTAACGCTGCCCATGGCGCTGAGACCGAGTGGAAACACCCCTTTGTGAATAATGCGGTGTAGGTGAGAGACTTTACATAATTGCACCGAAGTGCAAACAGTAGTCGATATAAGTAGAGATTTCTTCTTTATCTCCTTCTTTTTTTGGATTATAATTCGTAAGCCTGTGCTACTCACGGAGTATACAAGTATGTTTCTAGAAACAGGGGTGTGGCACAGGGTCCGTAAATACATGTACTTAAGGACTACTTTGTCCTGTTGTCGGGAGGTTGAGATTCAACATCAGCACCATACATTTCTTTGTGTATTTACAATGCGTCTCGCAAAGCCACTTTTCACGGTAACTTTTATTCTTAATCCCGCCACTGCCAATGGCTTAATATTTAATTGCCAGCCAGGGCAGTCTTGCTGGCCCACCACCTCAGAGTTGCAAGCTTTCAATCAGAGCGTCTCTGGAGCTCTAAAAGTCACGGTTCCGATGGGAAGCGTCTGCTTCCCTAATTCGTCCAACTTTGACAGTGACGCCTGTGCTACCGTCCAGGCAAATTATATGAATGGCACTTTTCGCCAAACGTCTAGTGGAGCGCTGGAAAATACGGCGTGGGAAGCTTGTGGCACCGCAAATTGTTATCCTGGCGTCTTTGCACCACAGGGACAGACGTGCTCCCTAGGAAGACTCTCTGCGCTACAGGTCAATGTCCAAAACAGTCAAGATATTACGACTACGCTATCGTTTATTCGGAAATACGGTATTCGAATGGTGGTCAAGAATACTGGCCATGACTACCTTGGTCGAAGCAGCGCAGCAAACACCCTTGTCCTCAGCACGAATAAATTGAAGAATATGTCGTTTCAATCCTCTTTCACAGTCCGAAATTGTCCTGCTGCAGGCAACAAGCAGAATATTGCTATTATCGGGGCTGGTGTTAATGCAGAGGAAGCTATGGGCTTCTTTGACAAGCATAACATGATGGTTACCATTGGCGGCTGCGCTACGGTGGGCATTGCAGGGGGATTTGGCCAAGGCGCCGGCCATGGTCCCCTGGCACCCACTTACGGGCTGATGGTGGATCAGGCTGTTGAATTCGATGTTGTCACACCGGACGGAGTTTTCCGGACCATCAACGAGTGCAATGATCCTGACCTCTTCTGGGCAATGCGAGGCGGTGGCGGACAGTCATATGCTATTCTCGTCAACTACAAGTTCCAGGTGTATCCCAAGACGCAATGGGCTGCATGGCGCCTAGAGGCGACCGTCGATCATAGCGATCCTGACTTCACAAAGAGCACGGTTTTGACTGATGTTCTTACAGAGCTGTCTAATGAGCAAACTACCTGGTCAAAGAATGGCATCGCGGCCTATAATGTCGTTACAGGGACTGAGCTTCAACTGCTCGAAGTGCTTCCTGTTGGGCAGGACCCCCTGGGGACAATAAAACAACTCACATCCCGGTATAATTCCTTCTTGACTGGCCATGCGGGACTCAACATTACAACCAACTCCTACGTTTTGTACAGTAGTGAGAAGGACTTCTACGCCGGCCAAGAAGCTTATCTTGAGAAATTCGGTGGTGTTGGCGTTTCCGTCCTGACCCCGAGTCGCCTCATCACCAAGGATAATTTCGAAACCCCTGCCAAGGTGGATGCCCTTGTCAGCGGCATTTTGCAGGGTATGGAAACTGCCCGTCAGCAGCTGGGTGGCTCTCTGGGCAGTACGTTTGAGGTTCTCATCCTAGCGACTGGAGCAAGCAATACACCCGATACACAAAATGCAACCAGCGCCAATCCCGCATGGCGAAATACTTTCTGGCATCTCATCGGAGTGGCAGTCTGGCTGCCCGGCTCTCCCGACTCCACCAGGGACCAGGCTGCGGCAGCCGCTCGCGCTGCTATGGGAGAATTCAAGAAACCACTTGCGGTACAGGCCGCATACTTGAACGAAGCAGACCCGAACGAGGCTGACTGGCAAAATGTCTTCTTTGGTGCAAATTACGATAAGCTGCTTGCGATTAAGCAAAAATATGATCCTGACACGCTGCTGAATTGCAAGGCGTGCGTGGGCTACCTTGGAGACAAGGACCCTATGTATTCTTGCTATTCGGAAAACCCTGTTCCGTCAATGCCATACCCGTTTAATTAGTGAACTTTTATTATTTCTATTACTTGCGCGAGTATTTTCTCTTGGAAATATTAGTTTTGGAAAGTACCTAGTCAATAGAGAAATATAAAGGAAAATATCTAAGCAACTTTAAGATCAGCCAAATCCAATTGGTAGCTCTATTAACTACATATGGCTATCTAGTCCTTAGATTGTCCAATACATATTATTATAGAGTCTAATTCAACAAAAGGTTTTGAATCCTATCCTAATAAGTGAAATCACTTCGGTGAAAAAAGTACTAATAACAAAGAAAAAGAGCTTGTATCAGTGCAGTGAATTAATAGTACGAAGGTTGAATATAGACACTATACGAATTGATTACTTTGACTGACAATCTGCAACTAAGAACCAACCTCATACACACCAGCTAGAGTCGCCGCGACATGGCCGTACAACAACAACCTGTGAAGCCTGCCACTTACGCAAGATAAGATGTGATTCGGCTAGACCGGCCTGTTCCAAGTGTGTCAAGCGCGATATAATATGCGAGTACCCGGATACAGATCCCTTAGCAACGCAAGTAAAATCCAGATGTTCCTCCAAATCCAGGTGAAAACTTGGGCCACTTGCCCCGAAGCTTCCAAGTCCAAAGGCATTTAACTTTGAATATGCCTAGAAAGCCGACAGGTATACGCGATAACAGCAATCTGAATTTCTTATCATGTTTCACTATTCTCAGTGGCACGCCACTCTGATAGCATTCCTCCAGCTACGGTACTATCGAAACCAGGGGCGGTTAATAATCTCATTAATCAGATCGTAATCGATATTGGCCCATACTCCTTCTGTACTGCTGTTGTTATATATAGATTCTTTCGTAATCTGTAAGCCTAGTCTATATGCTTCATAGAAATCTCACCTGCGGATGTTTCTTACACTAATCACAGGTTGTTTCTAAAGGTAGCTGAATGAGGTCCACCCAATCACAGCCGTACAAGGCCAATATAGTAGCCACGTTAACGTTGAGCGTTCTATCGGCTTGGATTCCAACTGTAGCACTAAGCTTTTTGACACAGACAAGCTTTATATACAAGGATAATTAAGTCCTAATTAATCACATTATTAAGTAGAGTTATATTACTACAGATACATTGTGAGGGCTAAGAAGATCCAAATGATCTAAACTACAGTGTGTCTAATTCATAGCTCAACATACTATTCCATAGCCAGCTTGGCCTGAGAAATATTGTAACTTTTACTACTTTTGTATATAGTGGATCGATGAGTGCATAGTTAGGCAAAGCAATAGCTGGCAATCTAAGTACAACTACTTGCGGCCATAAGAGTATTGTAAACAATAAGATAAATGGACTAGGAAGAAATAGAGTATGTTTAAGCTAATGCTTTAGGCTTCCTCTATTTTGGCAAGGCTTACAAGGCGGTGTTAATAGAAAAGAGGTTGCTGATTTATATCCACTTTGTCTTTCCAAAACTCCTTAAGTTAAATAACAAATAGTGTATAATAATTCTTTTGTGTATATACCTAGAGCTGTAAAAGTAATTTCTTAAGGGCTTTGAATTCCTAAATGCTTTAACTGCTATGTCTTTGAGACTTACTTTATAAACCCCGAAACCTTCCTAGGTATTAATAGAAAAAGAACATAGTATACTTACTCAAAATTAGTTAGCTACTAGTAATAATATTACAAAACTACTGTGAAGAAAGATTAGCATAAAATTAATTTATGAGAAATTAGTTAACCTAACTAACAATTATAATTAAACTTTAATAATACTATAGCCTAGCGCAAGCTTCCCTCCTATATCTACAGGTACCCTACCTTTTAGGTACCTAACTACTAAAAACCCTTACTTTATTTAACTAGCTATTAAATAAAATAACCTTTTTATTTACTTTTACAGTTTTATTTAGGGACTTTAGAAAAATAGAAATATTTATAAACCCTTTAGATACCTAGAATAAATTAAATCCTATTACCCCTAGACTTATAATAGCCCTTTAGCCTTAGAAAAAAGCAACCCCCTTTAGCCTAAAGATAAAAAAGGTTATAATTTTTCCCTTTACCTCTAAAAAAAAAAGATATTTTAAAAAAGCCCTTAGTATAAATAGAATACCTTTACTTAACTTTAATAAAGTAAAATTAAGCGTAGTAGTAGTAGTAATTATAATATAAATAACTTTAAAAGGCCTTATTACCTTTATTTTTAATAATATAAAAGAAGTTACTAACTTAAGTAAAAAGGGAAAATCCCTTATTAAAAATAAAATTATAAATTAAATTAATAAAATTAATATATAATAATAGGCTAAATAAAATATAATATTAAATATAGTTATAGTTATTAACTTCTGCCTAGTATAATATATATTTTAACTTTCTTTAGTAGTAGTAAAATAAGTTTAATTTTACTTAAATACTATACTTAAAAACTTTATTACCTTTTATATTAACCTTAAGGGGAGGCTTAAAAACCTTAAAAAATTAAGTAGTAAAGAGAAAGCTGCTTAACTAACTAAAATAATATTAGCTAATATATCTTATATTAAGGGTAATAAACTAAAGGTTATTAAAAACCTTACTAAAGTAGAAGTATTTATAACTATTAGAAAAGTAGGCTAGAAAGGCTTTAGGGTTATGTAAGTATAAGTTATATTATATAAGAATACTTATAATAAAAAAATATAAAAAGGGCTTATAACCTTAAAAAACTTAGCTCTTAGTAGTAAAGGACTAGCTTATACTATTAATAAACTAGGAAATAAAACTAATAAACCTAAAGAAAAGCTTAATAACTATATTTTTATTTAAGTTTTACTAAACTATATATAAAGAAAGCTATTAGTTATTAAGGCTAAATAAAAACTAATTAAGATTTTAAAACTTATTAATAAAAATATTACTTACTTCTAAAAGGTTTAATTAAGCTTTACCCTTAGGGGTAAAAATTAAAATATATAAAATAAAATTATTATATTTTAAACTTAGGCGGAAAGTAATAACTTAAAAATTAAAGAAATATATACTTAAAAAGTTTTTTTTATATATAATATACTAAAAACTTATATAAACTTAAGTAAAACTTACTTTATAAATATACTAATCCCTAAAGAGGTATATATTAAGGCTAAGGCTAAAAACCCCTTAGTAATTTATTATAAAATTCTCTTTAGGGAATTTTTTAATATATACTATTACTTTATTTTTTTTAAAAAAAATATTAAACTAGGTTTTAGGCTATTTAACAGCTTCTTTTTAATAAAAACCTAAGTCTAGCCCCCTTAAGTTACTTAATACTTATAATATTTTAGATTTTATAACCCTTAGAATTATACTAAGACTAAAAAGTATTATAAATATAATAAGTTATTTTATAAATATAATAATATTATAGCTAATTACTTATCCCTACTTTAATATACTAATTATAATAACCTTTATATTATAAATTTCCTAAAGTATTTTACTAAACTAATTATTAAAAATAAAAAAAAAGTCTAAATTACTAAAACTTAATTTTAAGCTATTTAAAAATTAGGCTAATAAAAATATAATAAAGCTAATTTACCTAAGCCTAAATTAGCCCTTGCACTAGCCCCTAATACTAAAATAATACTTAACCTAGGGACTTAAATAGGCCCCTGTTTATAATTACTAATCTTTAGCTTAATACTACTTTTCCCCCCTTAAGCTCTAGCTTAAAAAGTTATTATTAAAGTTAACTTAAATAAGAAAAACCCTTATAAAAAAACCTTTTCCACTAGGTTAATAATTTATATAGCTAGCTTAAATAGTAAAAAAAAGGGTAAGGGTATTAAAGGGAATAAAAATATACTTAATACCCCCTTTAAAATTAATAAACCCCTTAATATAAGTTTATAAATAATAAACCCTATTATAGTTATTAAAAAAACACTAACTTTAAAATTTTCTAAGCTAATATTAAAAAGTCTAATCCCTATTAAAATATTACTTTATTATTAATATAAAAAAGTAGTTATAATATTATACTAATTTAAAAACCTTATATTTAATAAAATAAAGTATTAAATAAAAAGTAAATTAAAAATTATCCTAAATATTAAGTATATAACCCCTTAAATAATTAAAAAAATACTAAACCCTTAGTTTTTATATTTATTAAAATCTCCCTAAACCTCCTTAATAAATAACTCTCTTCCCTAGGCCTAAAGGATAATTATATATATTAAATAAAAGTATATAAATATATTATTATTAATATTTACTAAAGGGCTTTAGTAAACTTAGTTATAAAAACCCTTACTAAGTAAGGCCCTTCTCCCCCCTGCTTAATTATTATAAGTAATTTTAATACCTTATATTAACTCTAAGACTTAGGCAGGAGTATAAACCCTATAGGTAATAAGATTATAAAATAAGTAAAGAAATATAACCTTTTTCTAGCCTTAATAAATACTCTTACGTAATACTTAGGAAAATATATTAATTTAGTTTTTATAAATTACCTTATAGTAATAAAGGTTAAATACTTCCTTAATATAAGATTAAATTACTATATAATAATTATAAACCTACTTAAGCCCCTTAGGATAACCCTAAGGGTAAGGAAAAAATATATTTTATTAAAATACTAAAAAAACTTTAGCTAATTTATATACTCCTTTACTTAAACCTTTCCCTTAGTAAATCTAACCTTATTATTAAAAACTAACCTAAATAAATATACTAAAGCCTTATAAAACCTCTTTAAGTAAGTTATAAAAGCCACTGGGAAAATTAAGCATTAGAATAGTTATAGTATACTTTAGTAGTTAAAGAAGTATAAAGTAGCTTATAAAATATATAAAAAATTAGTAAATAACTCCCTTACTTAAAAAAAAATTTATAAAACCCTTAAAAATATTATTTACTATAATAAGTATACTTATTAAAATAAAATTATATTAAAAGCTAGTATTACTAAGAATATTTAATTAATAATTAAATAGTATAAAGTAATAAACTGCTTTTAACCTCCCTTTTTAATAAATAAAAATA